TTTTTTTGTTTTGGTAATCTGGGTCTTGTTATGTTGCCCAAGCTTGTCTTGAACTCCTGGCCTTAAGCAGTACTTCTGCCTTGGCCTCCCAGAGTGCTGGGATTACAGGTGTTGAGCCACCATGCCTGACTGATAGCTAAGATTTTTTAATCTAGATTTTTTTTTTTTTTGTATCATTACTTATCATAGTCAAGATTATTTGTAGTTGGATTTCTTGCTTTTATACCTGGACCATGGGATTTATATTGTCATAATACTTTTTTGTGGTAATTTATGCTAACAAGATAGACCAAACTAGAAATGTCTAAGGGCTTCACATTAAAAAAATCTGAATTTTACTTAGAAGCTATGGAGTATGCCAGAAATGGTTTCTTTAAACTGTGAAGAAACACTTTTTTTTTTGTCTTTTAAGGGACAAAGAGATGAATTCTATAGTGTATTGTTACTACTTTTAGCTGTCAATTTTCAGATGTTCTTTTTTGGGTATTTTTCACTTTTTAAATTATGAAATCTGGGCCAGGCGTGGTGGCTCATGCCTGTAGTCCCAGCGCTTTGGGAGGCTGAGGCAGGCCAATCACTTGAGGTCAGAAGTTTGAGACCAGTCTGGCAAACATGGTGAAACCCTGTCTCTACTAAAAAAAAAAAAAAGAAGAAAGAAAGAAAAAAAATTAATCGGGTGTGTTGGTGGATGCCAACTACTAATCCCAGCTACTCAGGAGGCTGAGGTGGGAGAATCGTTTGAACCTGGGAGTCAGCGGTTGCAGTGAGCCAAGATCACACCACTACACTCCAGCCTGGGTGACAGAGTAAGGCTCCGTCTCAAATAGATAAATAATGAAATCTATCACACATACAGGGATATACAAGTAATTGAATGAACACTCATGTAGCAACTCAGCTTTAACAAATCTACATTTTGTCATGGGTTCAGAATTCTTTTTTTTTTTGGAGACGGAGTCTTGCTCTGTCACCCAGGCTGGAGTGCAATGGTGCAATCTTGGCTGACGGCAACGTCTGCCTCCCAGGTTCAAGCAATTCTCCTGCCTCAGCAGGAATAGAATTGCTGGGTCATTTTTTGTATTTGTAGTAGAGACTGGGTTTCACCGTGTGGTCAGGCTGGTCTCAAACTCCTGAACTTGTGATCCGCCCAAATCCCAGAACCGTGGCCTCCCAAAGTTCTGGGATTATAGGCATGAGCTACTGCACCGCATTTGTTTTTTTTTGTTTGTTTGTTTTGTTTTTGTTTTTTTTTTTTTTTT